ATAACCGCAATAGTGTCGGATTGGTCAACAGTGTCCTACATTCTAGTTCTAGGCGTCAGGTTAGTAACATCACTATTCAAACCCTTGACACGCTAACGCCATATCATACCATAAGGTGTTGCGGGATAATTGTAAGACAAAGGTACTGCTACTATTTTAGTCTTTTATACTACATAAGGATAAAGTCTCAAGAAAATGGAGACGCTACCTACTTTACACAAGGTCAAGAAGAGGAGCAGATGTAGGTTGACACCAGTCACTATCTAGTGCAAGGAACCTTCAAAACCAAACTGAAAGCCTTCAAAGAAGTTGGTGATAGACCACAGTTCAAGTTCAAAACCCAGAAACTGAAGATCGAAATTACAAAGGACATCTTCACGGCAGCCAGCCATCAAGACAAAATGGGAGACACTAAGCAACATCCCTGAAGAAACCTGTGTGGATGACCACTGGAACTCTTTGAAAGCTATGTTGAAAGAAACCTGCACAACCGTATTAGGAAGGAAGAAGAAAGAAGATAAGGAATGGATCTCAATGCATACATGGAAGCTGATAGAGCAGGAAGAGGATGATGGTGAAGCAGAAGATAAACCGGTACAAAGATGAACGATGAGAAGAGGAACTGAGTACAATCTATAAAACACTAGACTGGACAAAGAAGTGAAGAAGAGTGGGTGGAAAGACAAAAGACACTTCTACGAAACACTGACAAGTGAAGCAGAACAGGCTGCTGCTGCTGCTGGTAGGAGAGACACAGACCTGACAACATTGTATCAAATAACCAGCTTACTATCTGGGAGGGAACAGATCAACGCGGATGAAAATAATAAAAGATGATGAGGACATCTAATTATCAAAGAAGAGAAACAAAGGAAACAATGGGCCGACCACTTCAAAAAGCTCTCGAATCGACCACCACCACCACCCGCACTTCGTCCAGAAATACCACCAGCAGGCCAGTCACAGAACTATCAGTGAACACAAATCCCCAAACAAAAGTCGAAGTCCTGAACGCCATAAGGCTACTGAAATGTAGGAAAGCAGCAGGACCAGATGGAATCCCGTCAGAATCACTGAGAGCAGACGCAGAGACAACAGTGGTCATGCTCACACCACTATTGCAGAAGGTTTGGAAGGAAGGGAAGGTACCTGACGATTGGAAGAAAGGTTACCTTGTCAAACTCCCGAAAAAGGGAGACCTAAGTGTTTGCAGAGACTGGCGCGGAATCACGCTCTTGTCCACCCGAAGCAAGCAAAATATTAAGCTGCATCATCCTGGAGAGACTAAAGGATACGCTAGATTCAAAATTATCACCGGAACAGGCTGGCTGATTTCAGGAAGAACAAATCATGTGCGGATCAAATTCCAACGCAATGCAACACCACGCATCACCATAGAACAGAGCACAGAATGGCAGTCAACTCTACACCTCAACTTCATCCACTTTGAGAAGGCCTTCGACAGCGTCGACCGACAAGTAATTTGACAGGCAGCTGCTTCAACACTACGGAGTGCCACTAGTCTTCATCAATCTCACTCAACAGCTATATGAAGACGCCACATGCCAGCCAAGTAATTCACAATGGAAAGCTCAGTGATGCTTTGGAAGTGAAAAGGAGTAAGACAAGGTTGCCTACTATCACACATCATATTCCTGATTGTGTTGTGGTCGACTGGATCATGCAACAAAGCATGATGAGCGAGAAGAGGGGGATACGCTGGACCAAGAAAAAGATCCTAGAAGATCTGGATTTCGCCAACTATGACTTGTGTCTGATGTCACACAAACTTGAAGATCTACAGGTGAAATCCAACAAGGTGACAGAAGAGGCAAGGCAGCGAAGACGGAACTTCAAGTGAATATAGAGAAGATAGAGGTGATGAAAATACCCAACCAACAACTCCAACAACAACAACAACAACAAACTCAATCACCATCAACAGGAGGAACTCAAAGGAAGTAACCTCTCTCACCTATATAGGCAGCACTGTCTCAACTACAGGTGGCACAGACACAGACGAGGATGTCGAAGCCAACCAGGATGGGAAAAGCAAGAGAGGCGTTCATTAGCCTGAAACCAGTGTGGAGATCTTCTGCACTGCACTCAGCATGTGGAACAACATCCGGATTTTCAACACCAACACCAACGTCAAATCAGTGCTTCTATGTGATGGTTGAGAGACTTGGTGGGTGACGAAAGGGATTCCCAACAAACTACAGACATTCATCAACAATTGTCTACGCTGGCTCGTTACTGAAGCTCAGATGGCCAGAATAATAATAATAATAATAATAATAATAATAATAATAATAATAATAATAATAATAATAGGCAACAAGGAACTGTGAGAACGGACCAAACAATAACGTATTGCTGAAGAAATATGCATTGGAAGGAAGTGGAGATGGATTGGGCATACACTGAGAAGGCCGACTGTGGGCATCACGTGCCAGCCCAGGCACTCGAGTGGAAACAAGATGGGAAGCGACGAGTTGGGCATCCCGACTGAGGGTGAGTGACATGGAGGAGATCGTGTTAGGAAGAAATGAGAGGTTGTGGGCAGTCGTGGAGCCAGGTTGAAAATACTGCAGAGAAGAGAGTGGAATGGAGACGTGCTACTGAATCCCTATGTTCCATTAGGAACCCAAGGGACAAATAATAATAATAATAGTAAGATAAAGTCTGGGGATGAAACTACACTACTGGCTGCAGGAAGCTTTAAAAGAGGACAGACAGCCTCCGCGGATTACCAAAAGCAACACTCATACGCTCATTTCTTATGCGCAGGGTGGCTGTTGCAGGTCTTCTTTCTATCGTGTTACTTTACAGGAATTGATCGTGTTACAAGGGACTTCATATTTATTAAGACCTAGAGTGCGCAGACGATACAGTCCTGTTAGGTGAACATGTTGAAGAGATGAAGAGTCGTCTACTGGACACCTTGAGTGGCAATTTGAGAATGTTGGGGGTGCATTTCTCATCATCCAAATGCAAATTATTTTTCTACGACTGATCTTCACAAGTGCCTTGTCTAACAACTGGGAGTGAAATGGTTGGGAGCATTGACTACTTCGCTCACCTGGGAAGTTGGATCATCCCCGATGAGTGAGTCAGAGACCGAGGAAATCTCTGCACGGATACAACGGGCTTGCGTGGCTTTCGCCCATTAATGGCACCGATGTGATATCGGGTGATACTCTTCAACAATATGGCTGAGAAACATTTTCATCAAAAGTGGAAGACATGAAAAGAGGCCATAGTCTTCGTAGCATAGGCCGAATTCAGTGATCGAAGACCCTATGAGATATTTTTTGCTATCTCAGTGGGATACATATATATGTTTACACCTTAGTTTCATGCCAATCGTCATATCACATTTTATTTGTTCATTCTCGCTTGTAATTCTCCTCCTTTCTATGGCTTACGGGTTTTCACCATTTTTTCATTTCTCAACCTCCTGTCTTATGTCTTGATATGTTATCGATAGGTATGACATATTGCACCCCTGTACAGTAATACCAGGTCCTATGCTACTATTGATGATCTAGTTGACCAATAACGTTTCAAACAAGTTTAGTGGGACTATAATAGAAAAAGATGCATTTGCGTCAATTGTGCATGTCCGACGATGTCTGTAAGATATCTCCATTCCTATTCAATTCTTTCATGGAGGTACGTACTTATGAAGATCTTCCTTTTCTTGCCTAACCTGTCACTCAGGACCCCTTAGATGACAAGAAAACTGCACATGACAATCTGTTAGATGTAGACACTGGCAAAATACAGCCTTCTACACATAGTCAGAATGTTTGGAATGCCTTTCTCACCACCCAAATGTAAAATTCTGCTCCAGGACTAGTTTGATTTGTTGCCTCGTCTAACCAAAAACAGCAAAGTAGTTGGGTGCGTTCACCATATGAGACATGTGTTACGCATGTCTAGTCACCGTGTACCCTGGCGGGCAATGTTAGTCAAAGTGGGTCTATGGTGGGAAATGGTTACAGATGGCCATGCTAAAACGTGTCATCCATAAATGAAATCTCTACTGTTGATCTGAACCGGGTAGGGGTTCGCGTGGCTCGCGAATCCAGTGATCGAAGACTCTAGGTGACATGCCTGAGTATCCACCTCAATGCTACAAATATATCCACACATTATCTTCATCTTATTAACCATATCAAAATTCACTATTATTTCATTCCCAGTTGTTCCCTTTTTACGATACCACGCTGTTTTGTAAGATATTTATGATGGGTTAGTGTCTTCAGTTGTCGCATCGTGAGTAAGTGAATGAGGAAACCCAACATACACAGAGTACGCAGACGCAGTACTGTTAAGAGAAGACAGTGACAAAATACTATCCTGTAAACTATCCGAGTAAAAATCTGAGTATGTTAGGCATGCCTTCCGTAACTGTCAAGAAGATGCTTCAGGACTGATCTCGACTCGATTTTGAAATGCCCGTTTGGCATTCGCCAAATAACGCCATCTTTGACGTCGGTGAGGCATTCGAATGCATATCAAAGAACGACTACTTTGTCCAGTAGTTCATGTCATTGTGTTGTACGGTTGTGTGATATGGTCATTGAAAGTACATAAGAAGAGATTATAAACTCCCATTGCACACGGCGCAACCACAATGTGAATAGTGTCAACGTTAGGGAAAAGGAAACAGAGTAGAAATGATAGCAATAATGAAAGATGTAAAAAGATAAAAGACAAGGAGAACGGGAGACGAAGCGGATAAAGATATGTGAAATACCGATTTGGATGAATATAGGGTGTTAATGTACATGCGTTACAGAGATCAGTTTTTGAGACATCACCCACCAACCGTTTTTACTGCTGACACTCATTTTACTATAACTAATACTAATATTAATAGTTTGTATGCGTCTACATTTACGGTGAATTCTGTTACCTTGCTAGTTTAAAAATTGGTCTATACCGGAGGGAAAAAGTATGCAAACAAATAGAATTGAAAAAAGTTAGCCCACCTTGATTTATTTCATTATCGCTGACGTGTTTGTTATCATGCATACGAGACTGAGAACTATCAGATAGTGAGTGGGTACCATCATTTTTCTTACAGTCTGAATCCAAACTATTTGATAGGGAATGTGAACGACTGGGCAAGAAATAAACAGGATTCGGTAGCAAGTCACGTGAAACATCATTAGTGTCAACAACAATTTCAGTAAGAACACCTTCACTGAGAACTGAACTGTCAGCATCATCACTACCATTGCTGTCCTTTTGATCAGTTGAAAGATTGGTTTGGACAAGTGTTTCATTATGTTCCATACACGACTCATGATCGAAGGTTGTATTTAAACCCACTTTCTAAATAAAAATTACAGGTGAAAAATATTATGTGTGGTATAATTAACTACACAGGGTGTATCAGTACTTTTAAAAAGTTCGAAATTTGAATGAGTTGTTTTTCGAAAAAAACAACTTTGAATTTCAATAGCGATACATACACATGCACCCAATTAAGAAATCCTAGACAAGACGGAGAACACATGTGTTGATATGCACAATCTATTATCACAATACAGCCATTCTGATGACACCAAATTGATACGCTTACACGAAAAGCCTATGTGACAATAGCGACAAATAGGAAATACAGCTAGATAAACTGAGGAGATAAATGTGTATCACAGTTATTTTGTTGATTTCAAAGACCAAACGACGAAAGCATTACACGGCCAATGTTAAAAATGATGAAGGTAATTTCCTCCTAGATCGATAATAAAAATTAAAACATGTGGCAGGGAAGCTAATTTGTACAGAACTGAGGAATGGACAATCGAAGGTGTGTATGTATGTGGGGGGGGTATGTGGCAGACACTAATACGATATATCACCCTGTTTCTGACAAACAACAATTAGAGGTTTTTCGGTCGACATCTTTTAGGAAAACATGAAACTAACCAAGTCCTTAGGTCAACTGTTGACAGGATGAAGATGGCAAATTCGACAGCACTGAACTGCACTTCCATTCTATCCAACTGCCCCACAACAATGTGCATTACTGATTAGTATTCAATTAATGCAGGTATGAAATCAAGTCAAAAAACAAACGGATTCTTTAAATGACTAACATCCCTGAAGTATGTACGCGATAAAGGTTTGTTGAGTGAAAACTATTAGGAGACAACCCTCCGAAAAGACCAAGCGACAACCTGAAAATGATCAGAATGAGTTTTCTCACCTTCCAAATACAACATGGTCACTCAGTAACAATCCGACAATAGACAGACGGAGAGACAGAAATGTAGATATGAGATTAAAGGTTCTGGTTTACCTACAGAAGAAAATCGCTTCAAGTGAGTTGTAGGTAAACAGCATCATACAAGGGTGCACAGTGGTCAGTTTGGTTTCGACAAACTAAGCCTTCTGAAGAAAAGATGGCATGTGTGAATATCTATCAACAGCTGCAGTATGCAAATGACATTGGCCTGCAGGTGAAGATATCGACAAGAAGACGACTGTTAGTGAGACCATCACCAAAAAGGATGGGACGCTGATAACTTCCCAGACAGTCGGTTAGAACGTTGGACAGAGCACTCTGAAGCCCGGTTTAAACTGGCCCACAGCAACGCTTCAGTAGCCGAAAATCCAGCCTGAACTTGTTTGGGATGTAGATGTTAGTCCTGCGACTTTCATTAGGGTTCAGAAGGCTATATAGAACCTGAAACGGTCCAAAACACCAGGATCTGACAGTTTTGGTACTCAAAGTTTTCAAGATGGAGGTAGGAAATTGCTAATTAAAATGACGGACTTACTAGGTAGTGTATGGGATTCAGAGGCAGTGTCGTCAGACTGATGTTCCTCATAGATCATCCCAGTCTATAAGAAGGGGGATACGTCTTGCTTCGACAGTCATTGAGGGGTCACTTTGACTAATATTGTGTCCAAAATCCTGGGACTCATAGTTATCCTACACCTAACTGGAGTTTGAGAACAAACTCGAGAAAACCAGGCAGGTTTCAGACCTAGACGAAGGTTTATTGATCACATTCCTATCCCTCCGATAGGTTCAGGAATACAGGCATGCTCACCGGCGGCGACACTTGTTGTATTTCTTGATCTGAAGGCAGCATTCGATTCTATCGACTATGAGGTGTTGTGGCAGTGTGTGACTGTGCAGGGAGTACCGAGAAAGTATTCAATATTTATCAAAGGTCCCTGCTCGAACTCACATAGCCATATAGGAGCTTATGGAGAGTTGTCATCAGAATTTAAGACAACCAGTGGTGCCCACTAATGACAGAGGACCTGTCACAGTTTCTACTTAACTTCGTCATAAACATGCTATCAGACATAACCTTAGGTAAGTCTGACTTCATAGGGGTTGATCTCGCTGGAAGTTGTCTGGTTAACGTGGAGTATGCAGACGATATCGTCGTGCTAGGTGAAGGCCCTGACGAAATGTAGTCTTCTGAATGCTTTGAGCACAAAACTGAGTATATTCGGCAAGCGTCTCGCACCTGTCAAATGGAAGATGATGCTCCACGACTGGTCTGCTGCAACCTCTCCCAGTTGAATGATAGGGAGTGAAGTGGTGGAAAGTGTCGACCACTTTACTTACTTTGGGATTTGCATCAGCCGAAAGGCCTAGTTGATGACAAAATCTCAGCTTTGATATAGAAGGCTCGTTTCGCACTTGCCATCTTGCGTCATCTCTGACGCCGTTTGGCGAGATATCCGATTATCAGTCGAAGGACGAGTATAATGCGCTACAGTTTGTTCTGTCCTGTTATACAGCTGTGAGACATGGCCGCTGAAGGTAGAAGACATGAAGCGGATACAAGGTTTTCATCGGAGGTGTCTTCGTAGCACTGCTCGCGTGTAGTGGAATTACCGTGTAAGCAATGTTGAGGTAGGACGAAGGGTGCTAGGCAAGAAAGACTAGTTGGTTGATCAGGTTGTGAACTTTGGGCGACTAAGATTGTTTGAACTTGTACTGTGCATGACGAACGAGCGACCGCCTACCTCGACGTGCTGTGCCAGGGGAAGTTGGATTAAGTTAGAGGAAGGTTCAGGGCGACCAAACCAAGACTTGACATCAGTCGATGAAATCTCCTACTGTTGGTTTGAATATCAGTAGCGGTTTGTACTGGGATCCAGGAAGTATGTTTTATCCCTTTGGAACCACTTAGCCGGAGATAGATACATGTAGGTTACGGTCGTTCCATTGAAAATAAACCCAGTAATCTTCGCTCCGAACATCAATGAGTTATTCACCAAACTACTACTGAATTACAATAAGCACATCTTGCTCAACACGCATAGAGACATTTCAATTACTCGGGTGGTTGGAGGCAGTTGGCAGGATTTCCCTTTTTCACCCAGTTTACGTGCCTGTTGACACACCTGAATAACGTATATCTGCAACCTCCAAGAAACAGATGTCCCAGAAGAGATTTATACCTGCATCACTCATTGCTGTTGCTACAAACGTTACCACAGCTACTTATTGACAACTTATATTGGTACAAATTAGAGTACGCTGCCTGAAAATAACTAACTGGTTGGAAAGATCTAACAGTAGGCGATTGCAAATCTTTGGTAGACGGACTCACCATATTTGAAGGACAAAATCGTAGAGTGCAATAAATATCTCCAAAACACAAGTAATCGCCATCTCTCAATTCATAACTGATTCTTGGTTTTAACTGGAGGTTATTTCGCGTATCCCATTCAGTGAACCAAGATCGGTTATCGTGCAGAAATAATTCTCATTCAATTCAAAGACTCCATGCTTTCTTGAAAGAAACTATAAAAACGAAACAAACAACAACAGAATGACATAAAAGTAGTAGACAGAAACACACTTGTCCCAATAATTAAAAGATATAGCGATCGACAATTCATACAATTAGATGAAAATGCTCAGATTTCTGCTCAATGCGTTTACAAGACTCGACATTTTTAGCGTCCCCTCCGAACACACTGTTATCTTCACTCTCTAGATCAACTAAGAAGTCTCCATGACAAGTTCAAACCCTGTAAAGATAGATGAGGAGAGAGAGACATCCATAAATGAATGCCTGTAATAAATGCATGTTGTCTAGTTCAATGTCGACCGAAACCGTTTCCGTAATGTAGTCACTAAACTCGCAAAATTACCATGACAGTAAACCAACAATCTGAAAACGTTACCTTAAACATTGAAATACTCTGCATATTGTCACATTCTTAAAGCTTTCAACGCTAAAGCACAGAAAGATGAAATGAAAGGATGTGAAAATGAATGCACATGTACACGAAGCAATAAAAACATTGGTGCTGATAAAGTCCTCTCCGTGGACTTGCTCCCACTTCGACATGTTACCTGGGCCTGCATATCATAATGATCTAGCTAACCATGCCGAGGGCAACGATCGTTTATTGGTGCCCAACCAAGCCAGAACAGCCTCATAAATAGTCACGAGACTAAAGGCAGTGACTGATGATGTGAGCAGTTTCCTCTATGCTAAAGTGAGGGAAGGTATGGTGTGGTGTTAGATATACGCTACGTAACATCTAGAAGGGATGTACAGCGCATGACAGACAAAATCAACCTAGAAGCTCTCACACAAATGCATCAGTTTAGATTATCACACTTCACAGTACTATACAAAAAAGAAGTGGATAAAGAAAGATTGATATCAAAGTAGATAAAAGAGTATGGGAGGAGCAAGATCTTAAAAAGGTTAGTGAGAGTCTTCAAGCTTTGGAAGGCGTCAAAAAGTGAATACTTTTGCGCCCCTGTAGTCGATTTTCGATCATATCACCAACCCGACCGATAGCTGCTACCCCCGACCGATAGCTGCTACCTTGACGTGGTGGTCGGGCTTGCATATCACAATGACCCAACGAGCTATGCTGGTGGAACGCTTGTTCCCTCGAGGTCCTACCATACCAGAAAGGTCTGTTGGGTAGTGGTTAGACGAAAAGCAGTTACCGTCATAGTGTAAATTGCTACACTATGATGGGGGTCTGAGGGCGAAGTCGTACTGCTGCTAGCTGGATGGGGTGTGACAGCAGTAAGGTGTTTCCCTTGGATGACCAGCAGTGCCAAGCTGATGCTGCCTTCTCAGTGGAAGGGGGGGTTAGAAAAGGTCGGCCCCAAAAATAACACACTCCACCACGCCCCACGGTCTGCCGGGCCGGCGGTGTTGGTTCACTTGTCGTTTCCTTTCGCTCATCCGGCCCCAAAAATACAAAAATTCAAAATAATCATACTCAAAAGGCTGGGTGTGACAGGCCTCAAGCAGATGTCCGATGGGCTCTGCGGTCACACAAATCTCTTTCAGGTACCTTAAGAAGAAATAGCCTTCCACGGTGTGGGCAGCCGGGAAGTGTCAACCGCCCTCACAACTCTGTCAGCACCCAAGTTTCTTCTGACTGCTATCCTCCTCCTCCATCATTACCTTCTAATCTTCCTTCACGTCTCTTAATTAATGATGCTGCATCATCTTCAATTTCTCCTACCTCTGCAGCCTTCGACAACGATCTGAGTCCACAGAACAGGTCCCTGGTCTCCTTAAACCACGCTCCAAATTACATATTGGAGCCTTCAATGTCCGCACCCTCCGTCAAATTGGCCAACAGGCTTCGTTGGCAAAGACTCTAGCAACTCGAGGCATGGATGTGTGCTGTGTTTGTGAGACACGCATACAGGACCCAAGTGTGGTTATTCACCTGACCTCTCCTGACCAATCTGGTGAATCTGCAAAATTCACCCTTCGAGTTTCTGGAGATTCGATAGCTAGCTCTCGTGGTCTTGCAGGTGTAGGTATAGCATTAAGCACCAGGGCAGAAAACTCACTACTAGACTGGATCCCAGTTGATAGTCGCCTCTGCGCTATGAGGCTGAACGGCACAGTGAGAACTAAAAGGAATAGTGAGACTCGCCGTTGTCTCTTTGTAATCTCTGCTTACGCACCCACTGACTGTAGTTCGGATGAAGTGAAGGACGAGTTCTACCATAAACTGTCTAACCTCCTCTCGAAAGCCAAACGTTCGGACGTAGTGGTTGTTGCAGGTGACCTCAACGCACAGGTGGGTAGACTGAGTGAGGCAGAAAGGCACTTAGGTGGCACTTTCGGAATCCCAGCTGAACGTACAGATAACGGTGATCGCCTATTACAACTATGCTCAGATAACCGCCTATTTTTAGCCAGCACAAATTTCAGACATAAAGAAAGGCACTGTCTGACCTGGCGTCCACCGAGCTCGACTCAGCGATGGACACAGATAGACCACATTGCTATTAGTCATCGCTGGAGAGGATCGGTGGAAGACTGCCGCTCCTTCTGGAGTACGTGTTTGGACAGCGATCATGCGTTGGTCCGAGCACGTATATGCCTGCGTCTCAATGGACGTAGAAAAAATTTGGCAACAAAACCACTACGAGTTCTGCTGGACAACGAAAACACCAAAGCCGTGTTCAGTGAGAAGTTGGCTAGGCAGTTATCGGAACAAAAGACTGTCACTCATCCAGAAGAAGCTTGGTGCCATCTTCAGTCTACTGTAAAAGCAGCACTGGAGACTGTAGCCGACTCCAAGATAATGGCTAAAAAGAGCCAGTGGATATCAGCAGCTTCTTCCAAACTAATGGATGCACGTGAATGCATCCCTGCAGGCTCTGAGTACAATGAAGAGCGAGCGCAACTTAAAAATAAACTGACGAAAAGTCTGCGCAACGATCGTGAACAGTGGTGGGCAGCAAAGGCTAAAGAGATGGAAAAGGCAGCGGCGATCGGTAACAGTAGACAGTTATTTAGACTTATTAAGGAGACTGGGGGGAAATGGTCAACAACAGTTAGTGAGGTTATAGCGGAGAAGGACGGATCGGCGATTCACTCGCAGGGAAGGCGACTGGGACGATGGGCAGAACACTTTGAGGAACAGTTTAACTGGCCTCCAGCCACCATTGCGCTGCCCGCTATCCAGTCGGACCCTGAATGGGACATAGAGACAGGTCCCCCAACACTAGAAGAAGTTGAGAAAGCGGTAGGTAGCCTGAAACGGGGAAGGGCAGCAGGACCAGACGGACTACCTGCTGAGGTATACAAGAATGGTGGTAGAGTTCTCTTAGTCAGGCTAACGGAAGTGTTAGCCAGTATATGGGAATCAAATACGATCCCCTCCGACTGGTCTAAGTCACTGATCATCCCAGTCTTCAAGAAAGGCGAGAAGTCCTCTTGTGATAACCACAGAGGAATCAGCCTGACAAACATAGTGTCTAAGATCCTAAGTTCTATAATTCTCCGACGCCTGAGTGGAGCTCGGGAACAGCAAGCCCGAGAAAACCAGGCAGGCTTTAGACCTGGCCGTGGATGTATCGACCAAATATTCACACTGCGCCAGGTCCTGGAACATAGGCATGCTTACAGACGCCCGACAATAGCTGTATTTCTCGACCTGAAGGCGGCATTTGACTCCGTTGATCGAGAAGTCTTATGGCAGTGTCTGTCACTGAAAGGCGTGCCTAGTAAGTACATCACCTTATTGAAAGCTCTCTACTCGAACACTTGTGGGCATGTTAGAGCCTATGGTGAGTTGTCCAGGGAGCTATACTCATCAAGTGGTGTCCGTCAAGGATGCCCACTATCCCCATTCTTATTTAATTTTATCATAGATATTCTTATGGAGGTTTCCCTCTCGTCACCTAATTACAAAGACGTTGACCGGATCACAGGTGAATTTTCCTTAGATCTAGAATATGCAGATGACATAGTCCTGTTAGGTGAAGACGCTGACAAGATGCAGAGTCTTCTGAACACTTTGAGTGGGAATTTGAGAATGTTTGGGATGCGATTTTCACCACCCAAATGCAAATTTTTGCTCCAGGACTGGTCTTCAGCGGTACCGCGGTTAACAATAGAGAGTGAAGTGGTTGAGTGTGTTGACCACTTCACTTACCTGGGAAGTAGGATCAACCCGGTGGGTTAGTTGCCGATGAGATTTCTGCACGGATACAAAAGGCTCGATTGGCTTTTGCCAATTTGCGCCACCTATGGCGCCGCCGTGATATTCGTTTGTCTATTAAGGGTCGCGTGTACTGCACAGCAGTCCGCTCTGTTCTACTGTATGGCTGTGAAACATGGCCATTGAAAGTGGAAGACATGAGAAGGTTACAGGTATTTGACCACCGTTGCCTTCGTAGTATAGGACGTATTCCGTGGTGTCACCATGTGAGTAATGCAGAAGTTAGGTGTAGAGTTTTAGGGAGAAGAGGTAAGTCAGTCGACGAGGTTGTGAACCTTCATCGACTGAGATGGTTGGGACACGTACTACGTATGCCTAGTCACCGATTGCCTCGTCACACAATGTTGGCTGAGGTGGGTTCAGGCTGGAAAAAGGCCCGAGGTGGCCAGACTAAAACATGGCACCAATGTATGAAGTCTCTGACTGTTGGTTTAAGCCATGTAGGACGATGCAGACTAGGTGGTTGGGGTCCACGGGACAAGAGGAACCAGTGGTTGGAGACCCTAGGTGATATGGCTCAGAACCGAAGTCAGTGGCGCAGATGTATACACACATTATCCTCATCTTAACAACGCTATACCGAATCTCACTATTTTGTCACTCCTCTTTCCTTTCTTCTCATACTTTATATTTCTTTTGACTGCATTCACTTATCTTCATCCTTCACCTCACTACCTTTTTACTTGATGTGCTGATATGAGGTGTGGCAACTCGGACCGTTACGCAGTAATGCCTGGTCCTATGTTGATAATGATGATGACATATCACCAAGACTCCCTAACTATTGATTCCTACCACCCCGCAGACACTAGCCAGATAGTCTGCATCTCCCAGGAAGTAGATCCATCCTTATGAAACCAGAGGTGACCATTACATCTATAGCAAAATTTAACCAGGAACGTGACGGCGGGCATCCCTGCCGCATGCCACCAGTTATCAACATAAGTGTATCCTTCCCTGTCCACCACTGCTTTTGGTCATTGCGTAAACTTTTTGTCAGTCAACATTTGAGTTGCTTGCGCACCTCACTGTGCACGGAGCCTGCAGGGATGTCTTCAGGAACATTGATTAATTCAGAAGCTTCTGAGATTCACTGGTCCTTATTAAGCATCATCTGACAGTCGGTTACGGTCTGAAATACTGCTTTTACAACAGACTGAAGGTGGTGCCATGCTTCTTATGGGTGAGAGATGTTCTGTTCTGATAATTATCTAGCCATTTTCTCGCTGACAGCATCTTTAGTGCTATCACAGGCAAGCTGCAGTCGCAGTGATCTTGTTGCCGTTTTTTCTACGTCCATTTTTCCGCACATATACGCGCTTCCGAATCAACAGCTGATCATCACCAAAACACTCACTCCAGAAGGACTGTCAATCTCCCAGTGATATGTGACAGCGATATGGTCAATGTGTTCACCGCTGAGTTGATGTTGGTGGATACCGAGTCAGGCAATATCACTTTACATCTGAAGTTCCTGTTGGTCAGAAATAAGTGGTTACCTGAGCACAGTTAGCACGAGATCACCGTTATCTGTTTGTCCGTTAGGATTCTGAAAGTGCTACCTAGGTGCCTTACTACCTAACTTAGCCTACACACCAGTGCTTTGAATTCCCCTGCAACAACCATATCTGAAGATTCGGCTTTCGGTGGGAGGCTAGACAATTTGTGGTAGAACTAATCCTTTATTTCTTCCGAGAAGTGTCAACCAACTTCATGCTTCCAGTAGTATACAATACGCAATCAAACAATAACCTACCCGACAGATTCCGGAACACAGGCATGCTTGTTGGTGACCGATACTGATGAGGAAACCACCACGTCAAGGTAGCAGCTTTCGTTCAGGTCCAGGTGACACGGCTTTGAAATAGATGTCACTAGAGGGAGGGTAATCTATCCATCAATTTGTTTATCTTAATAGTCATACTGAATTCAGGATTTTCTCATTCCTCTTTCCTCTCATTTTGCTACTTCCTACTACTTTTGCTCGACTCTTCCTTATTCCTTTATCTTTCATTTTATTCCTTTATTGTTTGATGCGCTGATATGACGTATCGCAACTCGGACCATTATGCAGTAATGCTATGTCCAATGTTGTTGTTGATGATTGGGGTTCGCTGAAATTTGGGTGTAGGTTACCAGAAAATCAGTAATCCCCATCAATGATTTGAAGCAGTTAAATCTGTGTTCATCATTGAATTAATTTCGGCGAACACTGTGTGGAACAGTATCTCTTCTAATGCCCGAGGTTCGGGTTGACCAGAAACAAGTGATTGATAGAATCAAATTGCAACAGACAATCACTCATTGTCGGTTCTTTGAATTACGACCTGGTAAATACTTCAAATCCCTTTCCAACTGGCTTAATTTCCTTACTTGAGCGTTAAAATCACCTGTCACTCTATTATGACTGTGACTGTTACTACATCTGAATGTTTCGTTTTCTGTAGCGAAATTGCAAACTTCTGACAGAATTCATCCTTTGCATCAGCCCAAGTGAAGTCAGTCGGTGGGTGCGAAGACGGAGATTACGAACAGACGTCGATCCTTCTTATTTCTTTCAGTTCCCTTCAGTTGGACAGCATACAGATGGCTGTTGACGTGTATCCATTCAAGTTGTTGTTAGTTTTCTACTGATTAACTCAATGCGGTACCTACACGAGCGAGTGTACGAGAGCTAGCCGGTGAGCCTCCAAACACTCGCAAAGTTAAGATTCACTCAATTGGTAAGGTGAGGTAATGTGAATAACTACACTTGGGTGCTGTCTACGTGTCTCAGAAACAGTATACAACCATGAGTCCTGAATTTATAGTTCAAGCAAGCTATGTAAGTTGTCTTATTTGGAATGGTTTTTAGGCGTTGAAGAACAATATGTGAAACCAATAGCGAGGTTTTAAAAATGCACGTATTGTTTACTTTTAGGGCCAATCTTTCTAACACCTGCTTTCTACAGGGAAGACAACAGCATGGCACTACTGGTCATCCAAGGGGAACACCATCGTCCAGCAAGCAGTAGTACTTCGCCCTCGGATGCTTTTTTTTCAATCATAGCGTAGCAGTTTACACTTTAACCGCTTTTCGTCCTACCAATGTCCAACAGACCTTTCTAGCATGGTAGAACCTCGAGGGAACAAACATTCCAGTCAATGTGGCTTGTTGGGTCATTGTGATATGCAAACCCAACCAACACGTCAAAGTAGCAGATATCGAGCAGGAAAGGCATGAACAGCATTTTATAGAGATGTTATCTATTATCTGAAGGGAAGGTTCGAAATACCCCAACATAATAAAAGCCTACTTCCCAATGATCTTTGATACTTACTCGCTCGTAGTATATCTTTTGCTACCTCAGGTGAGACGTAACCAATTACAGACTGAAAAATTCCCGTAAGGCTCAAACAGATCTCTCTTAAGCTCTCTGCCTACACATCCAGATCAGATCACGAAGACAACTTTCGCTAATCTAATTTCGACCTCACATGTCTCAAAAAGAAGTAGCCTTTCATGGTTTGGACAGCTGGAAATCTAAAGCATCAGCAAAACTTCTGTCAACATCCGAATCCCTTCAGATCACCCTATCAATCTTCCACATCTACACCGTCTAACTTCCCTGCATACCCCCGTCTAATATAAACTACATCATATTCTACTCCGCAAATGCAAAACTTTATAACGACTCCAGGTAACGGGACAGAACCCGTGACCTAGTGAAACCGCCATACAAGCTACATATTAGGGCCTTCAATTTTCGTATCCATCGTCAAATCGAACAACAAGCTTCACTGACCAAATTTCACAGGTTGGTTCGAGAACGCCTAAGTGTGCACCTAAACGGAGGCAGAAAAACCACAGCAACAAGACCATTCTGAGAGTAGATTGACGATGAGAATACTAAAGTTACATACAACGAGGAAATGTTTACACATTTATCAGAATAGAACAATGTCATTCATCCTGAAGTTTGATGCCATCTGCAGCCTCCCGTAATAACAACGTTAAAGAATGTAAGCGGCGCTCAGACAGAGGTTAAAAAGAAAAAGTGGATCTCAGCAGCCTATTCTGGATTAATGAATGCAAAGCGGTAATAGACAAAGCAAACCTACCGATGTGGTGCTAGTAGTCATGGTATAACAGGGGCTTAACGGCGAAGTTGTACTGCTGCCTGAACGTTGTATGAAAAAAGTACGGCGTTTGGAAGGGAGAGTTAGAAAAGTCGGCGCCAAAAATAGCACACTTTTTCACATGCTGCAGTACCACAGTGCATTTTCCCAATTACACACACCCTTTTTAGAAGTGTGATAGTTAGTTATGTTTTGCACAAGTCCGACTATGAACCTATATAGCCAGCAACGGCATACCGCAGAGTAGAGGTGGAGTATGCTATCCTCAGGGCCACTACTTCCTAACTCCTGCTTCCTATAGGGAAGGCAGCATCAGCGTGACAATATTGGTCATTCAAGGGAAACAACTTACTCTTGTCACACCTTCAATACGACTTCACCCTCAAACCTCATCATAATGCTGTAGTCCACAGTGTAACAGTAACTGCTTTTTGTCTTACCACTGCTCAACTGACCTTTCAGGCATGATAGGACGTAGACGGAACAAATGTTCCACCAACATAGCTTGCTGGGTCATCTTGATATTCAAGCCTGACCACCACGTCAAAGTAGCAGTTATCCGTCGGGTTGCCGAAATACAGTAAATTACTATGTTATGATAAGGGATCTAGGGGAAAATTGTACTGCAGGTTGAGTGGGTAACAAACAGCAGTAAGGTGTTTCCCACAAATGACCACCAGTACAGTACCATGGTGATGCTGAGTTCCTTATGACTATGGGGTGGCTAGAAATGCCTGGCCTCGGAAGTTACACAAATATAAATACTCCTACTCTGCAATCTTCGCATGCCAGTGGTATGGGTTTTCTAACAAAACCACAAATTTTCAAGAAGCCATTGTGGCCGGCCTCAAGCAACTCCACTTTAGCTTATGGACACGAACCAGTGATATCAACTCATCGGTGGACACAGACCATAACGGTATTAGTTATCGCCAGAGAGGGTCACCAGAAGATTGGCATTCTTCCTGGAGCACGTGTTTGGACAGTGACCATGTTGATTCGTGTGCGCACTGCTGGTTGTCTAAGAGAAACACCTTAATGCTGTCACACCCCATCCAGCTAGCAGCAGTACGACTTCGCCCTCAGACCTCCATCATAGTGTAGTAATTGACACCACAACGGTAACTGCTTTTCGTTTAACCACTATCCAACAGACCTTTCTGGTATAGTGGGACCTAGACGGAACAGATGTTTCACCAGCATAGCTCGTTGGGTCATTGTGATATGCAAGCCCAACCACCACGTCAAGGTAGCAGCTATCGGTCGGGTCATAATAGTGCGGGCGAATATTAAAGTGAGAAAGTAGTCTGATCAAGCATTCTACGCACAAGAACAACAAAGAAAACTCACTGATGATGACTTGATGCATATATCACAGCTGGGATCGCGTCCAATAGTTACATGTTCTGAAAAAGAGATTAGACCAAAAGCTAAGAAATTCAGGCTTACTTTTCACTAGGGGAAATTCAATAATCTTCTCTCCAGACGGCGAATAAACGTACAGAACAGGGACCTGTGACTTGAATTATAAGCATCGATAAAGATACCTGATTGATAACTGGTTGCCTAAACACATTATCATCGCTTACATCAGCAGTTGGTTGGGTAAAGTAAAACTCATCATCCATGACTGCAACCAGCCTTCACTTAGCTGGAAAAAAAAATATCAAAAACAACAGTTACACTTCTTTTCAATCTGGCGAATGCAGCAAAGATGAATATAAGGCAATGATATTTTGCACATTCGCTAGTCTTGCGCTTTCATGATTTATACTGGTTGATCGAAAAATATGCAACGAACCAACCCATGATAAGATAGGTCAAAGACGAGAATCCGAGTTCAGTTGGTGAGAAATGCAACCCTAACATTCTCAAATTTCAATTCAATGTGTCTAGTAGACGACGCTGCATTTTGTCAGTATGTTCACCTAACAGGACTGTATAATTTGAGTACTCTAGGTCTAATAAGTAAGGAGTCTCTCGAAACGAGATCAATCCTCGTAGTCACGACGACAGGGAAGCCTTCTTAGGTAGGTGTACAACAAAACTAAAGAGTGCAGAGAGTGGACATCCTTGATGGGCATAACTTGACGTGTACGATCCACCATAGGCTCCAACACGCCCACAGGTGTTCAAGTGTAACGCCTTGAACAAAGTGATGTCTTAACTTGGCACTCTTTACAGTAATAGATGTTACCATAATGTGTCGATGGACGGAGTCGAATGACCCCTTCACGTTGAGAAATACAGCTGCTGTTAGGGGAACAGAGAGAGGATGGTCACTGTATTCGTTTTCCTCGAGTGGACATCCCACACATGTAGTAACGCAACACCTGCTAGCGGTCGGGAAATTTCACTCGAACGAGGTTGTAGAGATATAAAAATCAGACCCAGTTGATTATGATTACTTCGATATGATTGAACTCAACCTAATAATAATAATAATAATAATAATAATAATAATAATAATAATAATAATAATAATAATAATAATAATAATAATAATAATAGGAAAAATAATAAAAATACTTCATTCATTGTGAGCTATATAACGACAAAATCGAATATGCAATGACATTTTATCAAAACGCTAAAGTTGTATACTGATCCCAACAGACAAAGTCAAAGCAGCTATAGAACGTGTCAGTAAACTCTGTCTTAGAGAAATTCATAGAATAGTCAAGAAGTTGCACAACATCAGGAATTATATCGAAGATCTTAAGTGTAAGCTGATACAAACAGTTATTAAGATTATGAGCTTCTGATGAACAATTTCAATAAAGCGAGATCAACCGCATTCAAGAAATCCGAAAATACTCAGATTAAGGAATTCAACAAACTTATGGAAGAAAAACATGCAGTTAACAGTAATGAAATTAACAATAGCATATCACCAATGATCGATAAGTCAAAGTGGATTGTAAATCTCTCAAGTGAGTGCTAGAGAAAGGTTTTAACTTCAATGTAGCAGTTAATGAGTTGAAATCAGATGTCATTCCCAAAATAGAAATAACATTAAGTTCAATAGATAAGACAATTGCAGATGAAGTAAGAGCACAGTGTGCTCTAACACTGAAACGACAGAAGAAAATGAAATCTTATTTACCCAAGTCAGAGAGAAGCTCTCAGGAATCTTCAAAAGATAACAATATAGTAATTGCCAAATCGGATAAAGGCAACTCAACAGTTGTAATGAACAAATCTGACTACACCTACAAGGTGAACGAGCATACAGAACAGGACCATTTGAGGAAATTAAGAATTCAGTGGATATTATTATGAATGAGTTCAAGAAATGGACAGAGGATCTGGTACGCCGGATGAAGCCGTTTCTAAGTGAGTCAAATTGGTTTAATTTAACGCCGAAAACTAATAATCCCAGTAGAATGCATGGTACCATTAAGATTCATAAGCCAGGTAGTCCCATCAGGCCTATAGTAGATTTTAGAAACACTTCGACTTACGAGTTGTCTAACTATTTAGCAATGGTGTTAGGCTCAATAAGAAATCACTTAAAGTCTCGACTTACCAACTCTTATGACTTACAGCATAGATTTGACGACATACACTTAGACGACAGTGAAAAAAATGGTTAGTTTTGACATAACTAGCCTTTACACAAATATACCGATCGATCGACATGGCTCTAGAGGCAGTTAGAAATGGGCTTAAAAATGACGAAGAACCTACGGATCGAACTAAGGTGCCGATCGAGGAAATCATACTAGGAGTAGATTGTGCCTAACATCTACAGTTTTTACGTTTCAAAATAAATATATAAACAAACAGGTGTTGCCATGGGATCACCAATATCCCCTATCATCGCAAACATATTTATGGATAGTTTGGAACAGATGGCCCTTCAAACAGTTAGTCATACTCCAAATATATGGTTCCCATATGTAGATGATACGTTTACAGTACTGAAATCGGAACACATCAATAGGTTCTTGGCACATATAAATTCAGTGGTGAATGTAATCCAATTTACCTGTGACTTAGAAAGTGAAGGTGAGCTAGCAATGTTGGGTTGCGAGATTAAACGAACACAAGAAGGAAATCTAGAGACTAGTCTCTATAGGAAACCTACCCATTCAAATAGCTACTTAGACTTCGAATCTTCCCACCCCATTTCAGTTAAAGTAGGCCTAGTTAAATGCTTAAGTGATAGAGCGATAAAGCCTACTAGTACATCGGAAAATCTGCAACAAGAAATTTGACACATCAAGAATACCCTACGTCTCAATAATTACCCACCAAAATTTATAAATAAATTCATAACAAACCGGAAAAAATATTAGCAGTGGTAGTAGTAATAATAATAATAATACGTGTTATTAATACTAGTTCCACTACTAATAGTAATAATGGTGACAGGATTAAGAGAGGATTCAAAGCCTCTGCTGTGTTACCATACAAGGAAGGCACCTCAGAAGCATTACAAATAATTCTCAATAAGGCTGGGATTAAAGTGCCACTCAAACCAACAAACTCGCTTAGAAACAAGCTTTGTAGGTTAAAAGACCCTATCGACGCAATTAAGCAGAATAATCTGGTTTACCGGATCCCTTGCAATGATTGCGAGGTCAAGTACGTAAGTCAAAGCAGTTGATCAGGGTCGATTGGGAAAACAGAGCACAAAACTTAGCCAAATCAAGAACAGTAGACCCTAATAAGATAAGAAATCTAGAGAAAAGCTCGGCTACAGCTCTGCATACGATGACACACAATAACACAGTAGGGTGGGATAGGGCGATAGTGTTGAAAACTAACTTAGTTGGGTGGAAGGAGGGATTGATAACCGAATCTTTGTTTATCGAATCAACACCAAATACATGCAATCGAAATGATTCTGCACCTGTTCCAGATATATGAAAAATTCTACGACCCTTGTCATCACAGAGAAGGAGAGAAAATTAGGAATACAGAAAGTCTGTCTCGAAATTGTGGAGTTACCTGATATGAATATGGACAACAAATTGTGTCCGAAACGTTATCCAGTAAATGCTACTGTTTTACTGTGTGATATATTTAATAAACAGACTAAAATGGGATTACAATAGACCACAGTGCCCAAGTTTTACTCTTATAATAAAGTTGTATACTGTTGTCTCTTACCGCAACTCTGAAACGTCTAGTCACAGATGCACGCAATGTTTTTGAAACGAATAAACATGACCAAAGTGTGTTTATTTACTTGGTCTCATCTGACCAATGCGGTTAATCTTCGAAATACATATTGTCTCATTAGACGAAGATATCGATAAAATGCAGGGCCTTCTGAACGCTTCGAGCGGGAATTTCGGTGTTATGCGTGCATTTAGCAACTATCAAACGCAAGATGATACTTAAGGACGTCTCCAGCTAAACCTAGTCTAAGGATAAGCAGTAAAGCGGCTGAATGCGCTTACCACTTCATGTAGACAAGCCCTATCTTTCTGACCTGACTCTCCATAGTCTCGTTTGGTCAGCAAAAAAGATTCCAAAGTAAACCTGCTGCAACAAGTCGCTTACGCACATCAAAAAGGAAAAGCTCCTAAAACTGAAACTCGGGGAACTTCATTTGGACATTGTCTCAGAGATGAAAAGACGCAATGCAAATATAAATTAAAATGCTATATGAGTATGATGACACAAAGTCCATGAGTACTTGGTTGATCCCGATAGGCTTTGGTTTACCAATAAGGCATTCGCGGTTAGCACGATTATATGCCCCAAGAAATCCCAAACAAATAACACCCAGTTTACCTCATTAGTCAGCAATACTAACCAACTTATCCACTGTGGTAACCAAGTAAGGGATAAGGACCAACTTAGAAATGCGCACTGTACTGGCGTAAAGAAGTTGGTCGACATAAAATGATACCTAAATTTCTCATAATTAAAACTACCCCCCCCCACTGCTTTGGAAGACATAGATAAGAGTCACCAGTCTGTAACTTTTTGGGTCATTTTGTTGACCTTAGAAGATTGGAGTTGAGTCAACTTTTAGTCTGTTCACCTTCGAAGGATTGTGAGAATCCCAACAGAACCCAACTAAAGGTTCGCCTAGGAGTGATGCTCCCCCTAGAACACAGTAGCAACCTGTGCTTTACTACCCCATCACTTAGGTTAAAGACTGAAAGTCTTATTCAGTCAGTAGGATATTCGCACACTTAAGTGGGTGGTCAAAAATGAAAACGTTTGCAAACCGTGGTTGACTGACAGTCCCATAGCTTCACTGTCACCACTGGGTCCCACCGGTCGAGAAACATTTGCTTAGGACTGTAGGAACTAAGCAGCATAGCGGAACACTGTGTTAACCAGGCTTGCAATCATAGACTGATGCCAGTACCTATCGGCTCTCGCCAGGGATTATCTCTGTATTTTAACTACCCAGTCCAGGATAGACATATGACTTCAACTAAAGGATTCTCCACAAAACTAGAAAAAGTACACGAGCAATAGGTGGCTATCCTCAAGGAAATGCTGGCAACCATCTCAACGAATATGCGCGAATGTCGGCTTAATGGTTTTGCTGAAGCCCCAATAATAAACGCAGAAATCCCCTTGAAGAAAAACATGCTTCAAAAATGTGGTAAAGGTCAATAAAGTGGCGTAGCTTCGACTAATATAATTTTATATTATT